CAATCCGTAACGGAGGCCGAGATCTATTGCCCCAGAGATCACCTCCGTTACATTTGAGAGTAATTGGAATATTTTGTATTCGTCTCACCAATCAACATTTTGACCAAATAACTAATTGATGCGCAAGATGCAGCCCTGCTTCAAATAAACAAGCACTACAACTATTTTCCGTTTCCAAAGGTTCATTACTAATCTTTGTAAACACACATCTTAATAATGACCACTTCAGCTCATTTGATCACATTCTTCACTCTTGTGCATCTCTACTCGTGTATGTGTCTGGGAGCCCCCGGCCCGGCTGCTGTGCCCTGACCCCCACCTTTCAAACGGTTTTGGGACTTTTGTTTGAAGAGGGCGCCGTTTCCTCCGCAGAGCCGCGCCGCTGACGCTGCTCCGCGCCCGGGCCACGTGACGAGGCGAAGCGGCCTCTCCTCTCCTCCTCTCTCGGTCCTTCCTTCCCAGTGTTCAATGAGCGCCGTGTGGCCCCACCCAGTCTCTCTTCATCGCTGTCTATCTCCTCAATGTAAGCTACTATTCTCGGAGAGAGAGAAAGGGAGAAAATAATAACCTCCAAGAATTGGTTATTCCTGTCTTTCACCTTCCTCGACCAGCGGCAGGAGGGGAGCGGCCTTCGCGGTGGGAATGTGCTGCTACAACAACCCCGCGTCCTATTTTTTGTGAATGTAAATGCACATGCAGCCTCAAGCCTGTAGCCTATTTACCCAGCTCGGATTCAAGAGGAACACAAATCTGTGTATGAGACAGTATACATATAGGCCTTATGTAGGCTAAAAAAACTGAGCCTGACAGCGGGGGTTGCTTTTTCACCTGCAAGAAACGTGGATACATTTCGAGGGATTTTCACATCTTGGTCACGTTTTCTTTTTCTTTTCTTAAATCTTTTTTCAAAATGTTTTTTTCTCTTGGAGGGATTCTTCGGAGCCGAGCCGGGAATTAAAAAAAAGTATCGGTGCGCAGTTTTGGAGGCTCGGTGGTGATGTGAGGGGCTGATAACACATTTCAGCAACAAAAGCGAGGGGCAGGGAGAGAGAGAAGGCCTTTTGGAGGAGAAAACAAATCGGGGGGTATTGGATCGTTGTTGACTCGGAGGTGGTGGGGGATCCAGCCGAAAAGACAACCGCAGTGAGTTTGGAGCTGTTTCGGGTTGATTCGATGCAGAGAGTGAAAACGAGCCGGATGACGACGGAAGCAATGAGAATATCACACATGTAGTTGGGGTGTAAATATTATTTTCCTTCCTCCTGTCCTGTAGCCCCCCCGACGAAGACAGCCGTCGGGGAGACAGAGAAATAGTTAGAGAGTATAAGCGTTCACCTATGGAAATGTTTAACATGACAGGAGACGTGGAAACGAGCCGCGCCGCAGCACTGGCGAGGTTTTCGGACACGCCGAGTTCGGCTCCTTGTCACGGGCAGCAGTGAGACGCAAGACCCGGGCTTTTGGAGATGCAAATTAGGCTGTCAATTCTGCCTCCGTTTGAGGTGAAACCCCAATATTTGGTGTCTTAACAGACGTTGTGGATTACAATTGTTTGTGTTACACAGTTGACGGGGGGAGAGAGTGGGGAAAACAAAACGATACTGCATGAGAAGGAGGAAAAGCCCGAGCAGGATTCAGCAAACTGAGAAGGCGGCCTCGGTGTCGTCAGCAACAGTATCCTGCCCTTTCTCTGACAGCAAAATACGCGTTATGGACACATAATTTCTACAGGGCTGCACCACGGACAGTTTTTGAGCAGGCCAGAGACGTTAAATGGTGTAAATGTGGGTGTCATTGCTGCCAGATCCGCATGTCAAACGAGGGATCTAGACTAGTTTAGTTTATTTATTTTCTTCCTACATACCCCTCCACCGCCAATTCTTCTTCCACCTCCTCCCCTGGACCCCCTTTTTTCTTTTTTCTTGCGGGAAGATGGGTTGTTTGGGCAACAGTAAGACCGAAGACCAGAGAAATGAGGAGAAGGCACAAAGAGAAGCAAACAAGAAGATAGAGAAGCAGCTCCAAAAAGACAAACAGATATACAGAGCAACTCACAGACTACTACTTTTAGGTGAGTGTTTTTAATATTCCATGTTTTCTGTGCCTGCTGCTTTACAGCTCTGCTTCCTCCCTGCATAACCTTCTGGGATGTTGTTTTGGGAAACATTGTCAACAGTGTGACTTTGCCATTGCATAAGGCTAAAAATGCAGCACTGTGCTGGGTTTTCAGCATGTTGTCAAAATGACTTTACTGAGTCTACCACTAGCAATACAAACATGCTCTAGCCGGTTGGTTTGGAAATATACATGGGGTGTAAGGTGGGAAACTGCTAGCAGTAGTAAGAGAACAACCTTCTTCAAATAAACTAAAACAACCTGAGTGTATTGTAGTTTATAGTTAATACATGCACATTTTTAACAGACACTATCCTTTTAAGCTGTTTTAGTTTGGGACTAAATGTTGTGCCATGCATGTAGGCCTGAATGGTTTTACCCCAACACTGGTTACATTACAGTTTGTCAGTGTGTAGCCCAAACAGTAACTTAAGACAATGTGCCTGAGAGAAAAACAATTAGTCCTGCCTAAGGTAGAGGTGAACATGTGTTCATAAGACTCAACATGTGGTTGTGTGTCAGAGAGTACACTGGAGGTGGGCTGGGTCTCTACATTACATAAGAGCCAAATAAAAGTGTCTAACTTTCGCCCGGCATGCTCTACTCTAGTCTGTACCCTCCTCGTATGTCTAATCACAGGTTTACCACCTCTAAATAGCCTAGGTGTTCTTTGTCAAAATCATAATATTTGATTGCAGAGGTGCCAGCGAGCGTGCTTATTGTACGACACGCCGTTATTTATGTTGAGGAGGAAGTTGTGGTGACTTTAGGAAAGCAGAAGGACAGGACCCATATGAAAACCAAAACAAAGTCTCTTGTCAAGTTTGTCCCCTTTTCATTTATACTATCTGCTTGTTTGACTTTATCACAGACCTACAGGTTGTTTTTGTTATTCTGCATATTTTAGATATGTTTAAACAGTTAACAAAGCTTAATGAAGTGCACAAGAGTCACTATCAATTCAAAGCCTGTGCAGCTAAACAACTGTCTGTAAGGCCTTGTGCTTGGGTTGTATCCATGTTGGAAGTAGTGAAAAAATTTTTTTTTACCGTCAATAATTACCATTTTAGGTGGCTATCCTGAACCAAAAAATTACAATTGTTCATCATTTGTGATGTCATCATTGGATTGTGTTGCTCAGTATTATTGTAACCTGCAACTACAACTAAACTGGCCATCGGTTTAAAAAGATCTTCTGGATAAATTGTTAAGGGTTTGTGACTCCTGTGGTTCACAATCAACCATATGCACAAAATGTAAGGTTGACTATCAGTGTTGCATCACTCCAGAGATCATTCACAATTTAGTTAATCAGAGTTCATGACTTACATCTGACATATTTGAACAGTTTACACCTATGTTTGCTTTGCAGCCAAACTTCTGAAAGCCATCAGTGTCTCAACAAACATCTGTACAAAAACAAATACAACTTAAATATTTCAAAGGCTAAATATCTAATCCGAAAAAGCATTTTAAGTCATTTATAAATAAGAATAGGAATCTGACTAAGCATAGAGGACCACTTTTTGTGTATTTCACCGCTTTAAATGCATTTGACTATTGACACAGCTACTCAGCTATACAGCTACTTGCTAGCAATGTTAAGCTAGTCCTTTTTCAAACTTACTATTTGTTCATTCCTCAGACAAGAGCAGTGTTTATGTTTTTCCTCAAAGGACATAAAGATATATAAGGAGTTCTATTTTTATACTTCAGCACCTGCTTTTAAAGGGAAACGTTTAAACGTGATTTAATGGAAAAGAAAATCTCTTCCAGGAAAAAAGGCAGGTCTAAAAATGTCATCTTGTGATTGTGATCACAGTATCTAGTGAAATAATCCAGTTTTATTATTCCAGCCATGACCATGCAGCTCTGTCCTTGCTTCTCCTCTCTCACTTTTCCCAGATAACGTCACAGTCATGTATGAAGTTTACTGTTTGTTCATTAAAAGTTTCCTGCAGGGCAAAGCAAGTCACCGCCGATTCAAAACAGCCTATGATCCTCCAAAAATCTTTTTAGTGAGGGATGGTGCTTGTATCGATACACGGCATATGAAACTACTGTACACCAGGGATTCCGCTAGGATTTTTTTCTTGCCGGTCAAGTGTCCGGAAAGAATTTATTTTACCGGACAAATTTGAAACTTACCGGTCATGTTTCAATAATAAGAATAAGAATTGTGTAGGCGTGTGGTGCAGTGGGTTGTGCGTTGGTGTTCGGATCAGGGGGTCACAGGTTCAAACCCCACTGCAGTCAGCATGTCGTTGTGTCCCTGGGCAAGACACTTCAACCCAAGTTGCTCCTGTGGGGATTGCCCACAGTATTGAGTATGTAAGTCGCTTTGGATAAAAGCGTCTAACAAGTAACATGCAATGTTAAAGAGATACACCCTTTGTCTCCCTCCACCGTGAACCAAACCCACAGCTGCATGTTATTATTACCAGGCGGCTCTCTGCAGCAGGCAGCGGACAGCAGAGGAAGACACGGACTGCCCTGAGAGTCTCAGCTTGGCTCAGTACAGAAATCACACATTAATGACCCCGTACACAAGAAGATCTAAGAGCTGACCAGAACCCTTAACTGTAATAACATACTTAGAAGTTCATTCAAACAGATAAAAGGTTAAAAAGTGGCCAAAGGCTTCACATTTCATTAAGTACAATTTAAAAAAAAAAAAAAAATTCTATAATCGTTAAAACGCGTCTAAAAGATTTAAAAACTGCAATTACACTTCAAATGTGCATACAGACACGATATAAAATCTGACTAGAATAACACATTATTTTAAAAATCTAAGACGTTGATGTAAGCGGTCCGATAGATATCATAAAAACACAAATCCACATGTTATAAAACATAAAGAATCCCCACCCCCCCCCCCTCCCTCTGTTCAGTCTATGGTTGTGGTGAAATGGGCCCCCGTACCGGCTCTGGCCCCGGCACCCCTGCGGCCCCTCTTAGCCGCCGACCTGATGCCCTCGGAGGTCATCAGTTTCCTCTTCCCAGAGGGGCCGGGGGTGCGGGGGCTGCGGTTGGGGGTGCTGTGGTCCTCGGAGCCCGCTCTGCGCCGCCTCTTCCCCTCCACCAGGTTATCTACGGAGCACATCAACACCACGCCTCATTCAGGGGCCAACATGGAGAACAGAGCACACCGGCACTTTAACGTTAACCAGTCAATCAAACATGTTCTCTATCAGGACACACATGAGTAAAAGTGTTCAAAATGTTACTTAAGTAAAAGTACAAAAGTATTAGCATCTAAGTACTTAAAGTACAACAAGTAAAAGTACTCAATCTGCACAATGTCCCATTTCAGAATATCTTGGTTATTACATTATCCTATTCTTATAAGAGAATTTTTTAATTGTAGCTCGGCAATTCGGACCAAATTAAGGTCCCAATTGATCTACACAATTAATTAATCTGTAGATTAGTAGTAAAGTACTGCAATATACCATTGCTTTTATGTACAACGTAACTAGTAACTGTGAGTGTTAAAGCAAAAGAAGTGGAGTAAAACGGATGACATAAGCCTCTGAAATGAAGTGGAGTAGAAGTATAAAGTAGCATTAAATGAAAATACTCAAGGTACAAGTAAAGTACAAATATGTCACGAAAGTACTTAAGTACAATACCTTAGTAAATGTACTCAGTTCAGCATAGGACACCAGATAATGTGGTGTACAGTAACTGAGTTTGGTTAAGGGTTTGTTTTGAGAGCACTGTTAAATGAGGTTATCCTTAATATAGAGTGGTGCAGGGGAGCTTTGACAGACTTCTTTTCAGTGATTTTCACCGTGTTCCCAACTCTCAGTCATTATTTGCCGAGGAAGGTGTTATCACGATTGGTAAAAAATCCAATCCAATCCAAAATCCAATTAGGTGCTAAGAAAATGCTTTTCATTGAACCTAAATAAAAAATGAACGAAGGCATCTGTGCATGTGCAGCGGGGGTCTCACCCAGGCTGATGTCGGAGGCCTTGGTCAGCGGGGTGGAAGGCTCGTAGGGCCCCAGGCTGTGCTGCTCCCTCAGCTTGTTGCCCTGCTCCAGAGACAGGATGACGGAGGTCCTGTTGTGCCACTGCCTCTGACCGTCCTTCTCCACGCTGTAGAACAGATCGGGCCCCTCGGTCTTATGGCCCCGCACAATGCCTGCACAAAAGACAGCAGTGTTAACAGTGCTTTGGGTTTAAGGTTCAACACAAAACCTGTTTTTGTGTTAGTTTTTCATCAAGTATATTGTATTTTGCATCATAGGAGGAGCCTCAAGATTATCATTGCCAAATTGACGCCAGAGCTACTGTGCACATGACAAAGCTTCAAAGTGTCTTTGATTCTTGAATATTTCTAGAAATTCAATAATAACCCGTTATATAGAATTGGCTCATCCAATGATCTAAAATATCTGAAAGGTAAAGGTGTTAGTTCATGTCATTATTAAACTCCTCCCCACCTATGCTGAAGTACTCGTCCTCCAGCAGGGCGGTGACCTCCGTCTCCAGGGGGATGGGGTCACACAGCAGGATGTCCCTGCCTGCCACCTCACACTCGTAGCCGTCGTCGAAGCGCAGGCGGAAGCTGCCCTCTCCAGAGTCTTTGATGATGAGGCCTGAGTAGAAGTATCCGTTGGAAGACCACTTGGCCACCACCCGCAGCCCCACAAAGCTGCTCCCTGCCGAGTGGGCCTCCTCCGGGGACGACCTGAGGGAGTCGGAGCGGCTGTGGAGCTCTGGGTCTGCGGGGCTAGCGGGGAGGCGCGGGGGGAGCATGCGGGTGTAGGGCTCCTCCTCTGAGGAGGAATGAGCCTGGCCGTGAGCCCCGAGCCTCTGCGGGGAGCCGACAGCACCCCCCCTTAGAGCCAAACAGAGTCAGTCAGACAGCAGGACAGGGTGATTCAAAGCTTCCTGTTTAACAAGTCAAGTCTTCCTCCTCAATGCCTATCTGTATACAATATAACCCAAGATGAGGCACAAGTAGTTCCATTACTAGAATGGCTCTGGATTAACAGCCTGTTATGGAGTGCTTAAAGGGGCCTTATCATGCTCATTTTCAGGCTCAAATCTGAATTTTGAATGAGTACTTTTTCTTTCTGTAATTTAAGTATATTTTGATGCTATTACTTTTGTACTTTCACTAAGTAACATTTTAGGAATCAGGACTTTTACTTGTAGTGGATTGCTTTAAGAACAGAGTATTTATACCATTACTTAAGTAAAGGATCTGAGTACTTCTACCTACAAAGAAAGAAAGAAAGAAATATTTAGCCTCTAGTATAAAAGCATAATATAGTATACTAGTATGGAGGTAATGTCTAACACATAGTATTTCAGGATATTTTAATTAACTTTTCAAAAGGCTGAATTATGTACTAAAACATATTTAAAGCTACTTTTATCAACCATGACTTCTTTATAAACTGATCAACATAATAGAGTGGTGCAGGGATGACGTATTTACCCGGAGGTAAGCTGCGCACAGGTTCCCTCGACAAAAAAGCAACGGGATTTCTCCATAGGATTTGGGAAAATAGCTCGAAATAAGGTCTGTGTAAAAATCTCCACATGTCTACCCTACTTTCATAATTTTCTAAATCATAAATCTAATCACCAGAAGCAAAATGCTAACGTTATGCTATAAACAAACTACAGCAGGGTCGCAGGACTTCAATGTAACGCCAACTTAAGATCCATATTAAAAAATACAGATTCAAAATGGTACAAGTTGAAGCTTTTGTTTCAACAGTTTGCAAGAGCGCAGGTGCTAGCTTTCAAGCAGAACAGGGCAAACAAACTTAGTTTGTGTTTACGTGTAATGACGTACAACGTCCTCGACAACTTCTGAAGTCCAATTCAGCCACTTGTTAACAACCATCGTTTTTCAGGCACGTAAACTCTTCAAAAATCACCAGTGGGGTCACTGCTGATGTATTTAATGTCGTAGAACAAAACGTGATCCGTCTCTTAAATTTGTGTCGACCACAGACCTTATTTCCAGCTATTTTCCTAAATTCTATGGAGAAATCCCATTGGCTCTGAGACGAGGGAACCGGTAGTGATGAAATGCTAACTCACTTCCGGGTCTTAGGACTCGTCACTGCAGCACTCTATAATCAGTACTGAAGGAATCATCAGCTGCAGCAGCATGAGGAGATCAGGTGTGAGTTTAGTGAGAAGAGGAAACGTAAAGTTCTGTTAGAGAAAGTGTGGGTTCAGTTTGTCGTCTCTTTACGTGCAGGGCGAGCCTCAGTGAGGACTCACCTGGACATTGAGGCACGGGACGGGGGCCGGCCCCTTCTAGCCCTTCCTCTGGGGAACGGTGGGGCGAGGCCTCTGTTCATTGTGACCCCTGACCCTGCCCTTTGACCCCTGTGACCCCTCTGTTGATGACCGCCTCCCCTCCTGGGACTGCGGACACACAGAGGGGACGAACGGAGCCCGTCAGGTTGCACAGGCACTGATCTGGGGCCACTCGGAATCACAAACACCCCATTAAAAGAGAGGTGTTTGGTGACCCCAGGTTCATGCCTGTGAGCAACCTGTACCTGAAGCAGGCGTGGGTCAGAGAATCACTGAGAGATTAAGGTGTTAGAAAGTCAAAGAAGGAGAAGGCGTGCACAGAGATCAGCATGCAGCTAGTAGAGAAGATGAAGCAGAGGACTAAAGCGAGATGGAGAGTTTGATGGGCAGTACCTGAAGGACGTGGCCCCTCGGCTGGGTGGCATGAGGAAGTCGGGCCTGGCGAATCCGCTGCTGCTGGTTCCTCCGGAGCTGTGCTGCAGGCTGCAGGCTTTAGACGACAGAGAGCTGATGTCCCCGAGGTCACCGGAGGTCATGGAGCTGCCGCCAGTGCGACACGGGGAAATATCGCCGTCCAACACCTGGCAGTCCACCACTGGCTCCTCGCTCTCCTGGTAACAAAAGAAACACTCACTTTGAAGTCAAATACATGTTTTGGTGGGTGGTCAGCATCCTGTTCAGCACCTAACATCCAATATTCTGACACATGGGATCATGATATGATTTTTTTGTGTAATGAAAAGCTGCCTTTGCATCATCTTAAAAAGGATTTTACATCCTTCTTTCCAATCTTTTTCCAAAACTGTTATTGCCAGATCCTGGTCATGTTAATGTTATGGCAGCAGTATATGTTTTCACTGCGAGGGGGACCCAAGTTCCCATCAGCGAAAACACGTGGGTTTGCTATCCTGGCTCCAAAATGGTGGAATGAGCTCCCCATTGAAATCAGGACAGCAGATAGCTTACACATCTTCCGGCGCAGACTGAAAACTCATCTCTTTAGACTCCACTTCGAGCGATAAAATTACTAACAAAGCACTTATATACTAATAAAGGACTGGCTTATCTAAAGCCAGTTAAGTAGCACTTGAAATGTTTGGCTCTATGAAACCTGATGTACTTATATGATTCTGTTTTCTTCTAGTTTGTATCTTCCTGGTCGAATGCACTTATTGTAAGTCGCTTTGGATAAAAGCATCAGCTAAATGTAATGTAGTGTAGACATCCCAGCATAGCTTTTTTGGCCCCTTCAAGGCAGCGGCAACAAGCTGTGAATAAAGATTTTACATACATTTTTTATTTGATGTGCCTAACTTTTACAATATTTTAATTCGCAGCAGTTTCTGGATGAAAAGGGTTCGCAGATGATAAATACCATTATTCAGTATGGTAAAATACTTATTGTAAAGCTATAAAGAATGTTGGATTTCTCTCTGTTTTAGCCCAGTTTTTGGTCTTCACCATCTCATGAGGGTTGTTTACCAGGCCCTAACTGGGTCTATCTGTTGTACCTGCTGATTGGGTAGTGTTCAGTGGCTGTTCAAAGCTCTTAAAACAACACTACGACGGTGAGAGGGAACAGAAAAGTAAAGTTGCACACTAAGTTGAAACGGTATAAAGCTCCATCAAAAAAACAGTGAACTAATCCTTTATAACATAATTAAACTGTACAGGTGAAGACATTAGAAATGAGAAATATATTGGGTACCTCTGTGACTTTGCGGTCCACCTCTTTGCCGTCCTCGTAATACACGTCTGTGATGATGCGTGTGACGGTGGTCCGCACTTCCTGGATGGTGCGCATATGTCTGCGGTGTGCGGGGGCTGTGGTTATTCTAAAGGACGGAGACTCCGGCTCACCCTTGATAACAAAAACATAAAAAGTTACAGGGGCAATATTTGACACAAGCTGAAAAAAGGTTATGATAACAGCTAAAAGTACATACCCTGTTGGCTGGGGAGCGCAGCCCCGGAGCCTCGGTGGTCTGCTGGGAGACTGTCCTCTGACGGATCTGAGACACAGAGCGGAGGGATCAACACCTCCACACCTTCACACTGCAACTCCACACCCCATGCAAGCACTTACTTGTGTTTTTCAAAAAGAAAACACTTCAGCATTTATATTAACATTTGAATTTGTTTAATATTATTAACAAGCTGCAGAAATCTGTAGCATACCCTTTACATTATGCATTTGCATTATTTGAAGTGAATAATAAGCAACGGACCTTGTTGGACGGACTGGAGGTGACAGTGCTGTCGGAGGGGGCCCTCTGCCGGGCCTCTGTCCTGTTGGGGGTGGGGGGCTCTGCAGCTTGATGCGGCCCTAGCCTGTTTGCAGAGCGCTCTGCAGGAGCTTTACGGGTCTCCTGCGATGCTGCCAAAACGTCCTGTTGTGAAGGTTCTGATTGGCTGTTGGGGAGGCTGTTGCATCCCAGCGAGGAGGCCTGGGAGCTCCTCTGCGGCGAGGAGAACAGATCTCCTCTGTGAACAGCAACAAATGAGATGCTGTGGGACATCTGGCAGACAGCCAACACAAATATGGTGCCAACATGACCATCCACTGGAATTAAAACAGGAACTAAAAAAGCAGGAGCCATGGAAATAAATCTACATATTTTAAAGTGGCCCTATTATGCTAATATTTAGGTCCATATTTGTATTGTATTTGCCTCTACTGTCTACTTTGATGCAGCACCTTAAAAACCTAGGTTGCACTTTAGGGCCTATAATTAGATAACATAATGTGATTTTGTTTACAAACTAAAGGATAAAAGAGAACACAACCGCAGAAATTTTTTTGTAAAACAACCTCACTTTGTCAAAGCTTGAGGACAAAGCTATTCCTCTCCTCGAGAGAATATGCAAAAAATAACCATCCCACCTCCACACTCCAAAAGTAGGTCACACACACACACACACACAC